GCATTGCTGGTCCCACCAAGGGGAAGGAGGTTTCCTACGGAAAGACGTTCCTGGAACCGGCCGAGTTTGAGCTTGGAGCGCGCTGTCCAAGATCAGATTGGAGAGGAAGTTATATTCCTCCAACGGTGGAAGCCCTTCTACCGACGTTAGGGCATCTTCTATCACATTCTTGAACTTTGTCCAATCGATATTACGGGTAAGATCGTACGCGACGTTAACGGGTTCCGACGGATTGAACCCACTGGCAACTGAAACTTTGATCGGCAAGTGATCACTACCGTGGGGATCTTGGATCACATTCCACGTGCAATCCAACGATAATGAGTTAGAGCAAAGTGTGAGGTCTAATCTACTTCCATTCGAGGATGGGTCTGCCAAACGTGTTACTTCTCCATTGTTAAGAATTGTCATATTAAAGCTGTCGCAGAGGTCATATATCAAAGTAGAACGGTTGTCATCATACAGTTCCCCCCAGCCTGTACCGTGGGAATTCAAATCTCCCATAATCAACCGTGGAGCAGGAAGTACCGAACAGATATCTGAAAGTTGTTTGCGATTAACAACGGCTCTAGGAGGAATATAAACAGAAGCAATACAAAGGCTCTTACCTTTAATAATAGCCTGACATGCGACAACTTCAATACCTGTAAATTGTGGAAGATTCACTCTATAGAAGGAATGGCACTTTTTGATCCCCAAAAGTACCCCTCCTCCACGCGAATCCTCACGATCCAGTCGAATAATGTTAAAATCATAAAAAGGAAGATCGATATCTGAAGAGAGCCAAGTTTCACAAACAGCAAATGCATCACAATCATTATTGTGAATTAAAAACTTAAAAGAATCTAATTTAGGAATGAGACTTCGACAATTCCACTGTAGAACAGTGATCAAATCCCCGACCTCGTTTGGAAAATTATCCATCGAAGGAAATGATTGCTGCAATGAGGGGCCACTTCAATGTCAATTGCTTCAAGAGGGTCTTCACAGAAGGAAGCATTGCCAGAACAATGCTTTTGAGAGGATCAGAAATATTGAGGTACTTGAGAATATCGTCCACAATTTTATCAAATGAGAACAACCCGGATGAAGTAGGGGCTTCTGTTCTTAAAAATGGGCCATCAGGGGTTTTTGATGTCCCCGGGAGAGATGGAAAGTTCTGGTTATAGTCAGTTCTGCGGAAACCAGGAGGAGTTGAAACTTCCTTTTTTCCATCACTCCTTGATTTGGGCAAGCTGATTTGGGGTTCCTTATCTGCAACTTTCCGCGAACGGATGCGTTTTCGTTTCCGTGCAGAACCTTCCGGAAAACTGAAAGAAACTCCCTCCTCAGCCAAGTCAGAGTCAGACTCGTCATCAGACAAAACAGCAAAGGGATTTTTGTCGTTGGTTGATGGTGTGGCTGTTTTTAGCATTGCTGCAAAAGACTGCCTGGAACGCTCCTTAAGAGAGCGTTCTAGTTTCTCCCCGCGTTGTTTGTACGCCGGGCACGATGAGAGACCATGAGGAGTTCCCTTACAGTACACGCATTTTGGTGCAGTGACTGTGCAGGCGCCATCCTCGTGCTTCTCCCCGCATTTGGAACAGCGTGCCTTGCTGCCACAGTGAGAGGCCGTATGTCCCAACTGTTTGCAATTTTGGCAGTTCATGACCCGAGGAACAAACAAACGCACAGGTAGCCGAAGTTTTCCCAACTCGATGTAGTGAGGAAGGGCTGAACCAGAAAAGGTCACCCGAAACGAGTCTGTGGGGGTAAAGCTCTTTTTACCCTCGCTGAAAGATACTGAGTTCAGCTTCTGGACTTCCAGTATCTCAACCGTGGGAAGCAAGGGGTTCTTGAAACGGCCAACCGCTTGCTTCGCCAAGATCTCGGGGGTCAGACTCGCTTCGGTCACCACACCTTCGATCTCCACATTACGAGCTGGGATGTACACTCTATACTCGAGTGTAAAGAGCTGGGAGGCAGCAATCTCGTTAGCTTGTTTCAGGTTAGAGACGACAACGCGAAGTTTATTGTACCTCACCTTCGAGATTTCGGTCACGGCCGAGAACCGCTTCGTCAGATCATTAGTAATTTGCATTACATTCAAAGGTTTCTTTTTGGGCTGAAAGTAAACAACCCATGGGCCAGTCGAGTCTTCTGGGTAGGCTCGCGATCGGGGGCTTATCTGTCCCTGTCCATTACCAGACTGAGATGACGAAGCAGGGATGGCATCATCTGATTTCTGGGATGACAGACGTTTTCGACCCTTCTTGCTATCGCGTGGCAAAGTGGTGTCATCTTCCGACAAAACGTCCATTTCGTCTTCTGACAAAATGTCCATTTTGCCGTACTAGTGGGAGCGAAAAACGCTCTACCACTGCAACGATAATCAAAATTACTCGGACACAATACACGAGAAAAAAAAAATACAAACACAGAAACACAAACTTAAAATTTAACTGATGGGAGAAAGAAAGAAAGAAGAAAATAAACTTATCTGATAATCCTATACTACTACCACCGAGCGTTTACACAGCAGCAGCGGAGCGACGCGCAGCTTTGATGATCTTCGATCCGCGTGTGCGGGCGGTCTTCGTTGGTGTGTGCTTGTATGAAGCTCGGCACTCAGCTGAACACACGATGATGGATGAGCGGTTTAAATGCGGAGGCAGATGCTGACACTCGATGACGATGATCCGTGTGCACAGGTATGCGTGACCACGCACGGATGGTGCGCAAAATGGTTGGCGAATTGGCAATCGCAAAAACAATTTTCCTTCCGATGATGCCGAAAACACACTTTCTTCTCAGAAAAAAAACTCACTTTTTGATAAATTTATCGGGAATTATGCCAGGAATCACTAAGCGAGAAAAAACTGATTATTTACGTCAGATAATAGCGAGAAAACTTCCAAATTAACGGAGCGCGAAACAAGTCGACCGTACTTCTTGCTAGGACGCAGTGGATCATATTGTTAATATGATATGTTTGATGAAAGGCTAACATCCGATGGCATATAACTAAGATAGATTCGCACGAATCTAGACTGGATGCTCAATTCGAGCATTTCTTCGAAGTTTTCAATCACAAGGTTGTTACTGACACTACATTTAATCAATATTCTTAATGAGAGCTCCCAGAAACGGTTCTGCAGAGGTTTTACGCCCGCTAGGACCTCTAGGCTCATATTGTGTGTTGAATGCATACAGTCAAGGGCAATACGTAAACAATGATATTGAATACGTTCCAATTTGATTAGATGGCTTTTTCTTGCCGAGAGGAAGCAAAAAGAGCCATTTTCAAGAACTGAAAGAATAGTCGTTTTATATAGTTTAATGAGATCTTCCGGGTGAGCACCCCACCATGTCCCGGAAATGGATCGTAGAAAGTTGATCCTTTGTTGACACTTTTGTTTCAAATACGTAATGTGGGTACCCCAAGTGCATTTTGAATCAAACCAGACTCCAAGGTATTTGAAGGTTAAATATTGGGTAATGTCTCTGCCCAAAAGATTTAGACGCAGTTGGGCTGGAAACCGCTTCCTTGTAAACACTACCAATTCAGTTTTTTGCGGTGAAAACTTGATCCCTAAATTTCTTGCCCAAAAAGACAGATTATTTAGGATATTTTGCAATGGTCATTGCAAGATTTTCGCTCGTGGACCTCTCAGGGAAACCACGCCATTTTCTGCAAGCTGTCTAAGCATGCATCGATTATCTAAGCAGTTATCAATATCTTTGACATAAATAAGATATATAGAAATTATAAAGTAAGGGACTTAAACATGAACCTTGGGGTAAGCCCATGTAGCTAATTCTAGAAGTTGTCAGTTGACCTAGATTTAAGGTTATTTGTTTTTCTGACAGCAAATTATTCGATAAATTGTTTAAAATACCGGGTAATCCACTACTGTGCAAATTGTCAAAACGCTATATCATTCAACAAAGTATTCTAAAAAATAAGATTTGTCAACATCTATAAAATATTTGGTCATTTCTTATGTCACTCTGAATTAGGTATTACCAGATGCGGACCGCAATGCTACTGAATACTTTTTAATCGACACTAATCAATCAATTTAAATGTCATTTCCTGCCAATAATAAGGTACTCAAAGCACCAAAATAAACAATACATATAAAACACCACAAATCGGATCTTAATTTGGCCTCGATCTCGTTCCAACTGGCAGTGACCTCCTGTGTCATGCTATGAGCATGAGAATAAAGCAATTTACGTGAGAACGTTTGTCGACGTCATCTGAGACAATACATCTTAGGTTTCATATGCTACTATTGCTGACATGCAGCTACCCTGACGGGTGCTAGCCAAGAAAACAATTTTTCCATGTCCAGCAGCGACAGTCAAATTGAGTTAAATTACACGGTAGGTACCGGATCGTGCCATCTACGCTGAAGTCCAATAATTTCGTTAGGCATGCATGTAAAGTATAAACAAAACAACTACATGCCATATAGGTAAAGGAATGCCCATCAAGCGAGGCGATCTTTCAAGGTGCTCAAAACCACAGACCGTAGGCTAGTTCAATAATGCAATCGATCGGCGATCAAGCGCGATTGGTCGTGAGTATTCCGACGATTGCAAGGTGATCGTTGACCTTGGCCGCCGCTGTGAAATCGATTGGCAGGAATGCGAAAGTAGTTGATTTGTGTGGGAGGATATTGGTCAGCTTTATTGAAATTAGGTATTGAAGGTTTGTCCATTATTCTAAAATCGGAAGAACCACATGCCCATTGCATAAACAGTAAGTCGTCATTTATAGTATGTTTATTATTCCACTCTAAAATCAATGCCACACCAAACATTACAGTCTCCCATAATATATACATTAGTAGCAACTAAACCGAACCAAGCACCAACTAATTCAATACCCACACCACAAACCACCACCGAGTCAACCGACCTCCAAGTGACTTGAAATTCTAATGTAGATCAATCGTTTCTCTGATGGCCAAACATATGCAATCAACAACTCTGTAACTCAACAAAATAATTACCTCTCTGCCGGTAGGATTTGTCCCGATAGAACGAATCGACGTGTTCCGATTCGCCCGATTGCAGCGATTCAATGTCAATGTGATCATTATCCAACGGGCCCCCCAGGTCGCCATACTGATCCAAATCCCCCTCGCCATCAGCATATTCCTCGTCGTCCTGCTGGTGTCGCTGCTGACCGGATTCCTCATCTCCGTCGTTGTATTCACTGAGCAAACTATACCGACTGCCGGCGGTACCTTTGAGCAATGAACTTCCCGTGCCACTCATAGTGGCATTCTGCTGGCGAACGTCCCGCACCGAACCGGGCGGGAGCGATTTCGGGAGGATCTCGTCCACCGATGGCACGTGAATCTGAGGCTTACGCTCGGGATGCAACCGTCGCTCGAGGTAGCGCTGCAGGATTTTCTGAGTTATCAGATTCTGGCGCTGAATTTCGAGCACTTGGGGATCCACATCTAAAAACGGTATGATTCCGTGTGAATGAATAGAATTATGGAATCCGGAAATGGGGGGAGAGAGAGAAAGAAGAAAATTTATGTAGCTTAATTTTGTATTTCAGTCACTTGAGGTGGATCGAACAGTAGTTAATAAGCGAAATTGTAAGCTCATGTCGGTTCTAACAAAGCGTTTTTGAGTATAAAGCGAATTACGGTAAGTGCTAGTGACATTCCAATTTGAACAATACAGCTTTATATTCAATCAAATTAACATTTAAGATTCCTTAGTCAAAGTTAATGATCAGGATCGCAAGATAAGTTTCTTAAGAGCATCGAACTTACTTCTAGTAAATTTGAACGGAAACAAATCCTTAAAACTCCCGAAGTAAATTGGCTATAATTCCATATCAGTCCCATATAGAAAAATGTATGCTTTGAGAAAATTGCAGCTGAAGACCCGAAGTGCAATACCCATGTAAATATTTAAAAAAGCATAGTTAATTTTTATTTATTTTTTTCAATTTAAAATCAATCGCTTTTATGTTTTATGATATCAGCAAAAAATATGGCAAATTAAAAAAGCAGAACTGTAACTTCACATCTGGACGATTTAATTTAAGAATGAGACTGATATGGGACTATTTACTTTGCTTGATAGGACAACCTAAATTGATGTTGTTTTCACGTTTTTCATGATCAACGACCGTAGTTTTATTACGTAATATGAAAGTAGATGCCAATTGATAGATGATAACGTTGTTATCTTAAAATTGGCGAAAATCCATATAAGACAGATATGCATTTATAGGCAATTATAATTCATGACACCTCTAGACTGACTCTAGGGCTTCTAAAATTGACCCGTGTAGTTTGTATATTCCGTATGATTTCCGAAGTGAACTCAATCTCAGCAGTATCGGTTGCCTCAAGAGAAATTCGTAGCCCAGACAAATAGAAGTCGTATAACAATGCACAGATAGAATCATAAAATACTACAGATTTAGTCCAAATTGCACATAAGAATGAATTAAATCACATAATGTTTAAGTTTCGTCATATATGGTGCAAACCTTTTATCTACATCCGATGTGTCATTTTTGCATCGTATAAGAGTATAAAATAAATCGGATAAACCCGTAAGACATGTCAAACATTATTTGTTATTACAGATTAAGTAGTATATTAGATCACATTGAATAGTTCTAGGAATAGCCTTTCGAGATCGCTGAAATAGAAAAAAAAGCAGGCAAAATCATCAAGATTCAGGGAATTCTTAAAATTTTGGATTTTTTTATTTGCTTCGTAAAAAAACCTCGATATTTGGGATTTTCTTCGTGAAACAAGGTTTTTGAAAATATTGTCAAATACCCCCACAATATTGGTATTTTTATAATCGGAGTGACATGTAGGAGCCTGAAATCTATGTCTGACGCCATTTTTAAATCCAAGATGGCGGCATCCGGTTACAGAACAACTGGGAAATACTGTCATTATGGCCCCACACGGGCTGGAAATTGATGTCTGGCGCCATTTTGAAATTCAAAATGGCACCTTCCAGTTTAAAAAAAAATAAGAAAAATACTGCTAAATACCTGAATGGGTTTTTTTAAGGTGAGTGACGTGTAGGGACCGGATATCGATGTCTGAAATACTGTCAAATATCCCACAATACGGGTATTTTTGGAATCGGGGTAACTTTTAGGGACCGGAAATCGATGTCTGATGTCATTTTTAAATTCAATATGGCGGTTTACGGTAGCATAAAAACTGAAAAATACTGTTTAATAACTCCAATATGGGTATTTTTGGAATCGTTTGTAGTGTAGGAACCGGAAATTGATATCTGGTGCCAATTTTTAATCTAAGATGGCGGCATCCGGTTACAGAAATGGGAAAACAGTAAAATACCCCACTATATGGGAATTTTGAAATCGGGGAAACGTATAAGAACTGAAAACCTATGTATGAACCCATTTTGAAATTCAAGATGGTGACTTCCGGTTACATAAAAACCAAAAAATACTGTTAAATAACTCACAATATGGGTACTTTTGGAATCGACGTAATGTTTTAGAACCGAATATCAATGTTTGACGCCATTTTGAAATCATTGATAGCGACTTCCGGTTACAGAAAAACAGAAAAATACTGTCACATACTCAACAAAATGGATTTTTTGAAATCAGGGTGACGTATAAGAGCTGGAATTCCATGTCTGATGCCATTTTTAAATCCAATATGGCTGCTTCCGCCTAGAGAAAAACTGGGAAATACTGTCAAATAACCCACAATACGGGTATTTTTATAATCTGTCATCCAGCCACCATCTTGGATCAAAATGGTGTCAGACATCGATTTCCGGTCCCTATACGTTACCTTGATTCCAAAAATAATTATATTGTGGGGTATTTGACAGAATTTCCAAGGTTTCTCTAACCGGAAGCGGCCATCTTGGATTTCAAAATGACTTCAGGCATTGATTTCGGATCCCTACACGTCACGTCGATTCCAAAAATACGCGTAATGTGGGGTATTTGACAGAATTTCCAAGGTTTTCCGTAGCCAGAAGCCGCCATCTTGGATTTAAAAATGGTGACAGACATAAAGTTCCGGTCCCAACACGTTAATCCGATTTCAGATACAACCATATTGTGGGGTATTTGACATAATTTCTAAGTTTTTATGTAACCGTAAGCCGCCATCTTGGATTTCAAAATGGCGTCAGATATCAATTTTCGGTTCCTACACGTGACTCCGATTTCAATAATACCCATATTGTGGGGTATTTCAGAGTATTTCCCAGATTTCCAAAATCGCAAAAAAAAACTCGTTAAATGGAATTTACTTCATAAAAAAAACCTCGTTATTTGGGATTTACTTCGTAAAAAGAAGGACGTAAATTAAATATTGCGTTAAAAAAGACTTCGTAAACGGAGGTTTCAGTGTAGAAGACCCGAGACTTTGGAATATTTTGAAAGTTTTTAGAATTTTAATTGTTTTCAAAAGTATTCACCTTCGAAGAATTTTCAAGAGAAGCATAATTCCAACGGAATTTCGAAAATAATCCCATAAGAATTGGAAAACCAGCAAATGTGTATACGTAAGAGTTACACTACCATAATACTGTTGTTAATTAAAATCACAAGAATGGAAAAAAAAAACCTAAGGAAATCTAAAACATTATTCCAAAGCATTCTGTTCAGATTTTTATAGAAATTCGAAGAAGAATTCCAAGGGAACAGAATTCTAATGATGGTTAAACAAATAAGAATGACTGGATGAGAATCTAATAACATGGAATTTTTCAAAGCAATTATGAATAACAATTTAAGAAAATCTTTAGGAGTATTCCTAGGGATTTTTTATTTTGAAAACAATTCAAATAGTGTTCTAAAAAAAAGCATCGAAATTCTGAAGGAAAATTCAAGGAATTTGAGAGAGAATTACAAAAAATATCTGAGATCATGTCCAAGGTAAATTCTGAGAAGAATTTCAAAGAAATTTGGAACAATACATAATATAGACAGAGGAGAATTCTACGGACATTTTGTGGAAAATTCTGAAGAAAGTTCAGAAGTTCAGGGTAAACACAGTTATGAAGAGAATTTCAGGAGAATTTTTAAAGAGTGAAAAATGAAATTCTAGGGAATATACCATGATAATATTATAAATGGATATTATTTGATTTTGTGTGGGAATGAACAAACATTTATTTGCAGAGAATCATTTTTTTCTATGGTAGTGGAACAGACTTGGTTAGTGGAGTGCTTTGTGCTGTAACAAGCCCCTAATAGTTTTTGTGGTGCTATTCTGAAATGTTATGATAAGCCATCGCAGTCTTCACGAAACATAGACGGCGTTGAGCTTGAGTTTCAATTTCTTCAGTGCACTTGTCATTTAACGCGCGTGTTATCTTTCGAAATCAGGCGTACTCTGCACATCAAACGTGATACTTCGTACCTACACGCAAGTGTGAACATTGAGGCTTGCTATGTTGCAACAGAAAGGGCAGACGAAATCGATGAACGCTTCTCATACGCCTTTAGCCTACACACGGGAACAAATCAAAAATCCGAAATGAGATAAATGACTCATGATTTCATGAACATAGCGTATTTTCATGTTATGAAAATACACCATGAATAATATTCATGATATCATGAGCTATGTTTGCGTAACGCACCCATGATTCCGGAAATCATGAATCATCCGAGTTAAAATCATGAACTAAATTCATGACTTTAACTTTTAGTTTTTAAACCAAAACATGTAAAAAAATAAAATAAATCATCAAACTGGATTCGAACCAAGAACCTTACGATCACTAAACCCAAACTTTGACCACTAGACTTTCAATACTTGTATCAGAAGGAAGGCAAAAGGCGTATAAGAGATACCTATGTAGTGCAGTGAACACGGTTTTTCAGGTAACGCTTGAAGCGGTCATGATTCCGCTGCATTATGAAATCATGAATTTCCATAACGAAATCATGAATCATTGTTATGATTTCAAGGGTTGGCAAGTTTTTTGATTTCATGATTTTTTGTTCATGATAATGGAATCGGATTTTTTCCCGTGCACATCTTTCAGAGTAATAACAGACGAGAGGTGAACATGCCAGTCTGATACACTTAAAGTTCATGGTTCGAGTTTATTCCGTTTTATAATTCTTTTTAATATCATTCATTCTTTCCAACGCCAAAGCCAGTGTTCTGCACTTGAATACGAAAAAATGCTTTTTAAACGCTGAAGCAAACGATGTACGGACATAAACGTTGATGAGGTGTGTGTACAAACTTAGATTTTTTGCCGAGATGGATACCACCGAGCAGCTCGGCAATCCATTTTGCGGGATCTCAGTTAAAAAATTGCCGAGATTCAGTTAACAAACGGGAATTTTGCAGAGGTCTCGGCTAGCAAACATTAATTTTACTGAGATCTCAGTAAAAAATAAGTGCCGAGCCTGCTCGGTGGTGCTAATCTCGGAAAAAAATCTAAGTGCGTGTGGGTGAATGCT